ATATATTCAGTCAAAACATGCATTTTTTTAATTTGACGACTGTCAATAGTCAAATATTAATTCTAACATTTGTTTCTAACAGATTTGTATTTAGTGACCTCAAAAACTGTTACGTAAGCTAGCTCAATGCAAAAGTAACTTTAATTCTTCTAATTTAACTTCAGGTTAAAATAATTTTCAAATTGTTATTAATATTGTACTTTTCAAAGAGTCTTTTTAAAAAATCGAACTCCACAGTTTTGTGGGAAATTTATTAACAATTAATTTAAAAAAAAAAACGTCTTGATCGGTTAAGAATTACGGTCTGTAGCGATTTTTGAACAGTAAATTTCTATTTGTCCCCACTGTGCGGCGGCGGCGTCCGACGCGGCGGCTCGTTCGTACTTTTTTCACCGTACAAACATTGAATGTCGGCGATGTCGTTTTGGTCGAGTTTCACCGGATACTGCTGGTCCGGCTGTATCGCGAACATCACCGATGTTTTGCGCCTGTTGTGCACCAATCCGAGAGAGTGGCCGATCTTGTGCGTCAGCGTGTAATGCAGGGAGAACCTATCCGTGGGATGTTTAATGACGTAAATGTGCCATGGCTCGTCCCCGTCGACTTGCACCTCGGAGACGAACCTCGCTTGGTCCGTCGGGAGAGACGCGTGGGCGAGCACGTTGCCGGGGCCGTCGAATTTGTTCGAGCAAATTGCTCCGTTTACCTTGGTATTCGTGTTATAGTGACGTAGGCGTCGCCAAGATATTATAATGTCGGCATTCGGCGTTTCGGAGCGTTCGAACGTCAATGCCGAATGCTGCGACCACAGGTCGAACGCGGCCCGCGCCGTGTTCAGCTCGGTTTCGTCGGCTAAGTGAAAATGCCACGTCAGGTGCGTCTTCGGCCATTTGGACAGGCTCGCTTTCGTTCCGTGCTTCAGGATATTTCGGAAACCGCATCGCGGTTTACTCATCAATTGCAGCGTTTCGTTGTTGGGCGTTCCGTCGCCGGGTAAATCGTAGTAATTTTAAAAATCCTCGAAGGCTTTGCGAAGAACGTCGTTGCGTCTCTGAGCCGGAACCGCGTCTACGTCTTTGGACAGATATCCGTATTTCTGCAGGTAGTCGAACGTGAGCGCGTAATTTTTGTCCGTAATTGTGAGATTAATGCATCTCGCGGCGATAAAACACGCGGTTAACGCGATTACGCGCGCGAGCCGCATCGTCGAGAGCGAGAGAGACGGCGGAACTGCGATGACGGCGCGTTGCGGTTTGAGCGCGATTTCGACGAGCGCTCCGGATGCGAACGTTTATGCGAAGACGCTCGTTAGCGATAACGCGGATAGGTGGCGGCGGGGGTTTTGGGCGTGAAAAAAATGCGTCGAAGATTCCGGCGGATGAGTCGGCCCGATAAAAATGCATTATTTTTCCTCGATGTATTTTTCTTCGACGCAAAAACGCCGTTCTTGTTACATTTTTCTTTTTTTACCGCGATATCCTCCCTTTGTCGCGCTTTCTCGGCGCGGATAAGTGCGGCGGCGGGGTCTCGGGTGGGAAAAAAATGCGTCGACGATTCCGGCAGATGAGTCGGTTTGATAAAATGCATTATTTTTCCTCGATGCATTTTTCCTCGACGCAAAAATGCTATTCTTAGTATATTTTTTTTACCGCAACATCCTTTTTTTACCATATATATGAACTCGAGACTAGACTTGGGCGTAGTCTATCCGCACTTTTCGAGCAAACTTATAAGACGATGGAGAAACTTAATGATTTAAAAAGCGTATGTGATTTATTACAAATTCATACCACAGCCCTGACGAGGGAGGTGGAAGATTATTGTAACGGTGCGGCAGTTGCAGCAGCGCGTGAGGAGTATAACGGAAAAGGTGCCTCCCTGTCTGCAACTCACCGTTCGCGTGGACGAGGACGCCGTAATGCTTAAAAGAACGTAAGTATCGCTTTCAAACGCGAAATTATTTCTTATAATATAATTAAATAACAAATATAATATTTATGTATATTTATTTATATTTATTATTTACATTTGTTTATATTTATTATTTACATTTATTTATATTTATTATTTACATTTATTTATATTTATTTATATTTATTATTTATGTTTATTTATATTTATTTATATTTATTAATTGCATTTTTTTGTGTAGGGCCATCATTACTTCATTAGCGAAAAAATCTCGCAACCAAATCAAATTATTCGTTACGAAACTTCGTGGGATGCATAGGGACATCGCGCGGCTGGACTCGCACGAAGAGGCGGGTCGTCGCGAGAGAGATGACGACGACGACGAGGGGGATCGTTCAAACCCGAACAGCCAAAAAGCAGTAACAACCATCAATGACGATGTCCCCGTATGTTGGTCCTCCCAAAAGTGAAAAAGTGTGAAATACGATATATTTAAAAAAATTTATTAAATGACAGAAGTTTATGTATGATAAACTATATAATATTGTATTACAAATAAATATTAACATTGAAAATAAATATTAACAGTAAAATGAAATGTTTTAACGATATCGCGTTTTCTTCACCGCTCCCTTCCGCACTCAATCTGACGCTTGGCGTTATCGCTCGCTTGCTCGCGTTCCTAACCACACCTCGCGCTGGAGCGTCTCGGCGTTCCCGTTCGTTTCCTTATCGCGCTATCGCCCTCGTATCGCGCTCTCGTTTTCGCTCGCCGTTTCTCTGTTTGTCGCGTTAAGATGTATCGCGTTC